TATCTTCGTTGTGAATGGTTACATTAATAAACATTATATTGAATTCTTACACATTCGTGCAGATGATACTGAAACAGAATGATATCACCTGCCAGCTTTTGCAGAATATAATTGATGTAATTAAATCTGTTTAATTCGCCATGCTAAGGACAATTCCATATACCATTGCTACCCGAGCTGGAAACAGAATGATTTAAGCAGGTCACGTATTGATGAGAAGAAGCCCCATACAGAACTACCTGTCTATAAATCCTGATTAGAACTGATTCCGCAACACTCCTCATTGAATTATTCGTCAATCATGTGATACATAAAAAAATATAGCGAATTGATTTTGAAAGACGAAATGCAACAATTTAGCAAAAGCAGTGATCATATGTGACAAAAACCGGAACCATATTAATTACGGAACGCGGATTTGAATTGAATTTAGTGAAGTCTCATACTATGTCGTATAAGTAGGGCTTCTAGCTGTGCAATCTAACATTGTATGGTTTCTGAAGGTGCCACGCCGTTTTAATGCAAATCGACTGCTTATTCTTTGGAAGCGACAGTACAGATATTCAACTATATTTGTAAAACTTTAATTGGAACTTATGACTTTATAGTTTTCAGTCTGGATGTTAAATATTGAGACTTTTGACAACGTAGACATTGTGATTTTAGGTTGATGTCTCACCTCAACTGCACTTGCGTGAAAGCTACAGTCTATACGGAAAAGCGTGTTCTATTGAATTAACTTTTCTCAAAGTCATACTGAACAGACTCATTGGGATAAGGCATATATGTTGCAGGTAGTTAATATTATTTCAAATGCCGGGGTCATTTCTACTGCATTTTAGTTACATTTGCAACTGACTGGCGTCTCACGGAATAGTTCATGGTGTGAAAGGACAACATGCATATCGGTCTAGACCAATTCTTTAGACGGACCTTAGTCATCAAGGTTACTGAGAGTTACCGCAGGTGTGAGATAAACCCAAAATAACATTTGACGGTAAATACCAACGTCAGCCATAAATTAATGGTTGGGGATAGTAGTTAAGCGGAAACGATGGCTGATATATAAGTCCAGTAAACTGAACTGTCACATAAAATTGCTTCACAACCATACAGAGAAACGGACTTATTGCTTTATAGCCTTATATTTAATGTTGACCAAAACAATAACAATATGTTGTGAAAAAATCATACATATATGCATTGTTTATTCATGTGCTGTAATTTGACAGATGAACCTCTTGGCATGAATGTTGTCCATACCATTAACCAAATGTAAGAAGTAATTCCGGATCAAGTAAAAGCACCACCAGTAACTAAATTATATTGTTTCAACTTTCATTCCTTAAAGCTGAGAAGTGGTATTAAATATGCAATACTTTTGTGAACTTGAAGGCTTTTGTACCCGACGGAGCTGACAGATCAAGAATGTAACGTCTTGAAACATGCATCAAATGAAAATGGCTCGTGTCAAGGAGCACAAAAAAGTAATTGCCTTGTTGGTATGATATGGATAGTTTAGGACCAAGGTTATCAGTATACAAAACTACACATGGTAATAGACAATGTAAAGCGCCGTAATATATTGATTAATCTATGTGATATGAGCTGGAGCTAGTGAAGTTCCAATCAACTCCTGTAATCGGAACACGGCTTATATACTTTACCCCAGGTGCGGGAACACCGACAATGCTGCTGTATGAGCGTGGAGACTTAAGGGCGACTCAAATACGCTTCCCTGGGGAATGCGTTATGAGAAAAGCGGCGGGGAGGGGACTCTACGGTGAAATTAATGATTAAGTGGTACGACAATCAGATTGGAAATTACCTGTGATGTGCCGAAACAATGGCAACGTGACAGGTAAGCAGGTGTTCTTGCAGGGATGTTTTAGTATCGATTGCCGCTGGATTGAACACGTCGGCAGGAGATCCGTTTGAGGACCTTTTTAGCCCGCTGATATTTTTCGCAAGATTTCAATTACCGAAGAGATTTATACCTTTTATGAAGCGTCTTATGCGTGCCGTGTACTGGGCATCAGTCGTGACGCTATTGTTTTCTTTGTGAATTATTATGCTATTGACTTTTAATATCGGTCCCTTTTAAAGGCTGATTAGTTGTTTGTGGAATTTTTTGTCCCACTAGAGATTGAGTCTTTTGTATGCCGCGAGTTGCTGATAACTGCACGAGAAGCGGATGAGCTTTTGAAAGTACGGGTTTAGTACAGGGCTATGAATCACGAATGAAACAGGCACTAGTATTTCAGTTAACATGGTGGGAGTTGAGGGTGTGTAGATGGATGTCTGGGAGAATACTGTTACTCCTGATACTAGTAGAGTAAATTATCTTTCATTTGTTTATAACACCGAACATCGGAGATATAATGTGCTGTAGTTGAATATGAAAGTAAGCACATTTATAATTATGGGAATTTGGTTTTGACTACGTGGAAAATCCAAAATTGTTTAGTGAGCAAGGAACGTATCATAAGCCCAGACTTGCAAAGACAACTATTTGTCAGCTACGGGGACCGACATTTTTTCTTCTATATATATGAGAGGTGGGGGAGGGGGTCTGTACCTGGGATGCAATTATCAAGTTGAAAAGAATTATAACGATGTTATATTATTATACTGCCGGATAATTACAAAGGTTATTAAAACGTTATTAGGCTGAAATCTGTCACCGAAACCCTGCAAACCTAAGGTTGAAAAACGCCCTATTATACCGGTATCAAATGGATCACCATAGAAATCTTGTTTGTTTCATTTTAGCCACCAACAAACACGGGTGTATACTTTCTTTTAGTCTTTTTATATATCATTCCCTTCTTAATCTATAGGTATCGGGGAACCCACCAGGGAAGCATTCATTGTGTATTTTTCAAGTTTGCTTTGTCACATGTGACACAATGTCAAGGTAGTATTATTAAGTCAGATTTAATACAATGTCAAGGTAGGGTAATAAAATTACATGTGACACAATGTCAAGGTAGTATTGTTAAGTCAGATTTAACACAATGTCAAGGTAGGGTAATGAAATTACATGTAACACAATGTCAAGGTAGGGTTATGAAGTCACATTTGCCTTGCCGATTAGCGCAGTATAACGACCCTGTTCAATTATTTTGTCTCGCGGAATGACATTTAATAAAATCAGAAAACCTGTAAGACACATAGAGGATCTCATTTAAGTGTCTTTTGAAATCATATATCAATATGACTCGATAAAAGTTGAAAACTGCGAGGCTTGCCGAATAGGTTATTTAACAAAAAGAAACGAATTTCATCTGTATGTATTATGAATATGAATATTATACTCTGTCTCTCATGTTCGATCTTCCACGGTCGCAATTCAGCTGTATCTACCATCGTCTCAATACTCTTAAGAAGCATCTGCCACAGCAACATCCCCAGCAGCATCTACCACCGCAACATCCCCAGCAGCATCTACCATCGCAGCATGCCTCGGCATCTATCGTCGCAACATTTCCCAGCAGCATCTACCATCTCAACATGCCCCAGCACCTACCACCGCAACATGCCCCAGCACCTACCGTCGCAACATGCCGATCAGTATCTACTATCGCAACATGCCCCAGAAGCACCTAACATTCTCAACATGCCCCAGCACCTACCATCTCAACATGCCCCAGCACCTACCACCGCAACATGCCCCAGCATCTACCATCTCAACATATCTCAACAACTACCATCGCATCATCCCCCAGCACCATCAACTATCTCAACGTATCTCAACAACTACCATCGCATCATCCTCCAGCACCATCTACCATCTCAACATCTCCCAGCAGCAGCATCTACCATCTCAACGTCTAGCAGCATCTACCATCGTAACATGCCCCAGCAACATCTACCATCGCAACATCTCCCAGCAGCACCATCTACCATCTCAACATCTCCCAGCAGCACCATCTACCAACTCAACATCTCCCAGCAGCAGCATCTACCATCTCAACATCTCCCAGCAGCAGCATCTACCATCTCAACATCTCCCAGCGGCACCATCTACCATCTCAACACCTCCCAACAGTAGCATCTATCATCTCAACATCTCCCAGCAGCAGCATCTACCATCTCAACATCTCCCAACAGCAGCATCTACCATCTCAACACCTCCCAACAGCAGCATCTACCATCTCAACATCTAGCAGCATCTACCATCGTAACATGCCCCAGCAACATCTACCATCGCAACATTCCCCTAGCAGCATCTATCATCTCAACATCTCCCAACAGCAGCATCTACCATCTCAACATCTCCCAACAGCAGCATCTACCATCTCAACACCTCCCAACAGTAGCATCTACCATCTCAACATCTCCCAGCAGCAGCATCTACCATCTCAACACCTCCCAGCAGCACCATCTACCATCTCAACACCTCCCAACAGTAGCATCTACCATCTCAACATCTCCCAGCAGCACCATCTACCATCTCAACATCTAGCAGCATCTACCATCGTAACATGCCCCAGCAAAATCTACCATCGCAACATTCCCCTAGCAGCATCTATCATCGTAACATTTCCCAGTAACCTCGCAACATACCTCGCCATCTACCATCGCAACATCCCCTAGCACCATAAACAATAGCAACATCCCCTAGCACAACTACAATCGCGACATCCCCAAGCAGCATTTACCATCACAACATCCCCCACCAATATCTACCATCGCAACATGCCCCAGCAACATCTACCATCGCAGCATTTCTCTAGCTGCATCTGTCTTCGCAACATCCCCCAGCAACATCGCAACATACCTCACCATCTACCATAGCAACATCCCCTAACACCATCTATCATCGCAACATCACACAGCACAAGCTACCATCTCAACAAATCCCAGCAACATCTACCATCGCAACAAGCCCTAGCAGCATCTACCATCGCATCATCCCCTAGCACCATCTACCATCTCAACGTGCCCAAGCAACATCTACCAGCTCAAGATCCACCAGCAACATTTACCATCGCAACATGCCCCAGCAACATCTACCATCTCAACATGCCTCAGCAGCACCTACCATCGCAACATCCCCTAGCAGCATCTACCATCGCAACATCCCCCAGCATCTACCATCGCAACATCCCCTAGCAGCATCTACCATCGCAACATCCCCTCGCAGCATCTACCATCGCAACATCCCCTAGCAGCATCTACCATCGCAACATGCCTCAGAAGCACCTACAGCTGTACCATCGCAACATGCCCCAGCATCTACCGTCGCAACATCCCATAGCAGCATCTACCATCGCAACATCCCCCAGCATCTACCATCGCAACATCCCCTAGCAGCATCTACCATCGCAACATCCCCCAGCATCGACCATCGCAACATACCCCAGCATTCACCATCGCAACATCCCCCAGCATCTACCATCGCAACATCCCCTAGCAGCATCCACCATCGCAACATCCCCCAGCATCTACCATCGCAACATCCCCTAGCAGCATCTACCATCGCAACATCCCCCAGCATCCACCATCGCAACATCCCCCAGCATCTACCATCGCAACATCCCCTAGCAGCATCCGTCATCGCAGAATGCCTTAGCATCTATCGTCGCAACATCCCCCAGCAGCATCTACCATCGCAGCATGCCCCAGCAACATCTATCAGCGCAGAATGCCTTAGCATCTATCGTCGCAACATCCCCCAGCAGCATCTACCAGCGCAACATCCCCTTGCAACATCTAACATCACAACATGCCCCAGAAGCACCTAACATTGCATCATCCCATACCCCCCCCCCCCCCCCCCCCCCAGAAGGATCTTACATAGCAACCACCACCCCTGTGGCATAAACCAACTTGACATAATTTAGCAATGTCTATCATCATGACGTCCTCTAGTAGCATCCACCACAACTACATTCCCGAGTAGTAAATACTTCAAAGATGTCGCCCTCAAATAATCTACCTCTGCTACATCCCCAGTAGCATCAACCGCAAATGCATCTCCAGTATCATCTACCACAACTACAGTCTCAATAGCATCTACCTCAACTATTTCCCCAGTAGTACTTACCACAATGACGTTCTCCAGCAGCATCAACCTCAACGACATTATCACAAATAGCATCTACCTCAACTATTTCCCCAGAAGTATCTACCGCAAAGACGTTCTCCGACAACATCTTCCTAAACGACGTCTTTCAGTAGCATCTATCTTAACTACAGTCCTCATAATAGCATCTACCTCACACATGCCCCAGTAGCATCTACCTCCACAGTATCCCTTGTAGTATCAACCTGAACTATATCCCCAGTAGTATCGACCTGAACTATAACCCTTGCAGTATCTTCCTGAACTATATCCCTTGTAGTATCAACCTGAACTATTTCCCTTATAGTATCTACCAGAACTATATCCCTTATAGTATCTTCCTGAACTATTTCCCTTGTAGTATCAACCTGAACTATATCCCTTGTAGTATCAACCTGAACTATTTCCCTTGTAGTATCAACCTGAACTATTTCCCTTATAGTATCTACCAGAACTATTTCCCTTGTAGTATCAACCTGAACTATATCCCTTGTAGTATCAACCTGAACTATTTCCCTTATAGTATCTACCAGAACTATATCCCTTATAGTATCTTCCTGAACTATTTCCCTTATAGTATCTACCAGAACTATTTCCCCTGTAGTATCAACCTGAACTATTTCCCTTGTAGTATCAACCTGAACTATTTCCCTTGTAGTATCAACCTGAACTGTTTCCCTTGTAGTATCAACCTGAACTATTTCCCTTGTAGTATCAACCTGAACTATTTCCCTTATAGTATCTACCAGAACTAAATCCCTTGTAGTATCAACCTGAACTATATCCCTTGTAGTATCAACCTGAACTATTTCCCTTGTAGTATCAACCTGAACTATAACCCTTGTAGTATCAACCTGAACTATTTCCCTTGTAGTATCAACCTGAACTATTTCCCTTGTAGTATCTACCTGAACTATATCCCTTGTAGTATCAACCTGAACTATTTCCCTTGTAGTATCAACCTGAACTATATCCCAAGTAGTATCTTCCTGAACTATAACCCTTGCAGTATCTACCTGAACTATATCCCTTGTAGTATCAACCTGAACTATTTCCCTTGTAGTATCTACCAGAACTATTTCCCTTGTAGTATCAACCTGAACTATATCCCTTGCAGTATCTACCAGAACTATTTCCCTTGTAGTATCAACCTCAACTATTTCCCTTGCAGTATCTACCAGAACTATTTCCCTTGTAGTATCAACCTGAACTATTTCCCTTATAGTATCTACCAGAACTATATCCCTTGTAGTATCAACCTGAACTATTTCCCTTATAGTATCTACCAGAACTATATCCCTTGTAGTATCAACCTGAACTATATCCCTTGTAGTATCAACCTGAACTATTTCCCTTATAGTATCTACCAGAACTATTTCCCTTGTAGTATCAACCTGAACTATTTCCCTTGTAGTATCAACCTGAACTATTTCCCTTGTAGTATCAACCTGAACTATTTCCCTTGTAGTATCAACCTGAACTATTTCCCTTGTAGTATCAACCTGAACTATTTCCCTTATAGTATCTACCAGAACTATATCCCTTGTAGTATCAACCTGAACTATATCCCTTGTAGTATCAACCTGAACTATTTCCCTTGTAGTATCAACCTGAACTATAACCCTTGTAGTATCAACCTGAACTATTTCCCTTGTAGTATCAACCTGAACTATTTCCCTTGTAGTATCTACCTGAACTATATCCCTTGTAGTATCAACCTGAACTATTTCCCTTGTAGTATCAACCTGAACTATATCCCAAGTAGTATCTTCCTGAACTATAACCCTTGCAGTATCTACCTGAACTATATCCCTTTTGGTATCTACCTGAACTATACCCCTTGTAGTATCTACCTGAACTATTTCCCTTGTAGTATCTACCTGAACTATACCACTTGTAGTATCTATCTCCACAACATCCCTTGTAGTATCTACCTGAATTATATCCCCTTGTAGTATCTATCTCCACAACATCCCTTGTAGTATCTACCTGAACTATATCCCTTGTAGTATCAACCTGAACTATTTCCCTTGTAGTATCAACCTGAACTATATCCCCAGTAGTATCTTCCTGAACTATACCCCTTGCAGTATCTACCTGAACTATATCCCTTTTGGTATCTACCTGAACTATACCCCTTGTAGTATCTATCTCCACAACATCCCTTATAGTATCTACCTGAACTATACCCCTTGTAGTATCTATCTCCACAACATCCCTTGTAGTATCTACCTGAACTATATCCCCTTGTAGTATCTTCCTGAACTATTTCCCTTGTAGTATCTACCTGAATTATACTCATTGTAGTATCTACCTGAACTATATCCCTTGCAGTATCTACCTGAACTATATCCCTTTTAGTGTCTACCTGAACTATATCCCTTTTAGCATCTACCTGAACTATATCCTTTTTAGTATCTACCTGAACTATATCCCTTGTAGTATCTACCTGAACTATACCCCTTGTAGTATCTACCTGAACTATATCCCCAGTAGTATCGACCTGAACTATATCCCCTTGTAGTATCTATCTCGACAACATTCCTTGTAGTATTTACCTGAACTATATCCCTTGTAGTATTTACCTGAACTATATCCCTTGTAGTATCTACCTGAACTATATCCCCAGTAGTATCGACCTGAACTATATCCCCTTGTAGTATCTATCTCGACAACACCCCTTGTAGTATTTACCTGAACTATATCCCTTGTAGTATCTACCTGAACTATATCCCCAGGAGTATCTACCTGAACTATACCCCTTGTAGTATCTATCTCCACAACATCCCTTGTAGTATCGACCTGAACTATATCCCCTTCTAGTATCGACCTGAACTATATCCCTTGTAGTATCTACCTGAACTATACTCATTGTAGTATCTACCTGAACTATATCCCTTGTAGTATCGACCTGAACTATATCCCCAGTAGTATCTATCTCGACAACATCCCTTGTAGTATCTACCTGAACTATACCCCTTGTAGTATCTACCTGAACTATATCCCCAGTAGTATCTACCTGAACTATACTCATTGTAGTATCTACCTGAACTATACCCCTTGTAGCATCTACCTGAACTCGTATATCCCCTTGTAGTATCTACCTGAACTATATCCCTTGTAGTATCTACCTGAACTATACTTATTGTAGTATCTACCTGAACTATACCCCTTGTAGCATCTACCTGAACTATATCCCTTGTAGTATCTACCTGAACTATACCCCTTTTAGTATCTACCTGAACTATACCCCTTGTAGCATCTACCTGAACTATATCCCCTTTTAGTATCTACCTGAACTATACCCCTTGTAGTATTCACCTGAACTATATCCCTTGTAGTATCTACTTGAACTATACCCCTTGTAGTATCTACCTCAACCACGTCCTTCAGAAGCATCTACATCAACGCCGTACTCCAGTTGCATCTTCATCAACGACATTCTAAAGCAACCTTTACCTCCACGACGTCCTTCAGTAGCATCTACCTTAACTACAGTCCCAATAACATCTACCTTAATTACATTCCCAGTTGTAGCTACCGCTAAGACGTTCTCCAGCAGCATCTAACTCAACGACATCCTCAGTAGTATCTACCTGAACTATATCCCATGTAGCATCTACCTCAACGACGTCCTTCAGTAGCATTTACCCCAAAGACGTCCTCCATTAACATCTACCTCAACTACATGCCCTTGTGGTATTCCCCGATAACAACAAACTCTGAACACCATAAGGTGAAAGCATTTATTGTGAAGTATTTAGAAATGTATTCTGCATCAAAGAATCTACCAAGCACTGTGATACGGGAGTGATATGAGAAAATCAAGCCTTTTTTCAAAACAAACCATTGCATACAAGCAAAATTCCTACTTGACGAAGGTCACCTTATGTTTCGCTACGGTCAACACAGCCACAGCTGTTTTACGGCGTCATGCTATATGGGAAGGACCCGGAATAACAAGGCAGTGGCTTGAAGTGTTTGCACAGACACAGACGGGTGAGGGACACTGGCACTGCAGCCAGGCCGTGTGGGGCAGCCCAGTTGGTCAACAGTCCACGCAGTTGGGACTGGTGTTGACTAGGCGCACTGCAACTCTAGCGGAAATCTAGAACAATGCTAATTAGCATTGGATATGCCAGTGTCCTATACTACCATATCACATTTCAACAGTTCAGGACTGGCTACACCATGAACTTAAAAGTTGATGAGGAAGGATGGATGTAAAACTGTCAGTTTCCAGAATACTCATGACACAATTTCTTATTCACATCTGCCAAGCATGGATGCCCAACGGCAATGTACCCTTAAGCTTGTGTTTAGCAAACATCATGCCAGAAAAGAATATCGTTCAGAGAATACCCATAACTCATACGATATCCAAAATAGCTAGCAAAAATGATTGTCACTGCTAAAACATTTTGTGAAGCAAAAGGCAACAAATAAAACTGACTGAAGACAGAGTGTTCCCTGGTGAAAGGTGGACAGAACAACACGCAAGGGTTCATTGTAACTGTGAAATTCACACAAAGACATGATGATAAGCCCTGATTAAGCAGCGATGTTGCAAGCCCTGCCCGGCGAAGCGCTGCCATATTAGCATAGTGTCGGCTTTCATCATGTAACTTTGTGGTGTTCAGGGTGTGGAAATGAGGCAATCAAGCCCGCAAGTGTACCACT